TGTAATGCAGAACATAAAGCTCTCATTTGAATTAGCCATGTAAGTGACAAATAGGCTTAGCAGCCCAAATGAACCCAGGGAAATTTGAGCAGAATTTAATTAATGACTTAAATCAATAATGAAACTACCTATGTTAATCTTTCAAAAACAGTCATTAATTTTTTCCTAATCTCAATCAGTACATGGATAAACAGGCAAAGTCAAAACATTATTTTATTCTTGAAGTTCCTTACCACAGAGATTTTCAAGCTGCAGTGAACTATCTAGTGAGATATTGATTCCCTTTTCTTTTAGCTAACATAACGGGATACACCAGAGGAAAAGAGAGATGGGAATTATTAAGTGTGTATCAGTGTAAGTAAACTGAGCAATTTCAATTTCCCCCTCCCCAAAAAAATTAAAGTAAACACATGTATTTTTTTTTCTAATGCTATTGCACCTAATTCTATGTTATGGTTATCGGAGGAATGCACTCAATTGCAAATAAAAGTCATTCGCTTGAGTCTGGAAATAGAAGAGATTTGAAGTTTCTTTGAATATAGTCCACTCTTTGAAATTGCAAAACTTCTTTCTATGTGAATAATCTTTGTCAGTACTGAATTAATTTTATCCATATTAATATGGGTTGACACCATAAATTCATTTTGAAAGTCAGTGATCAGATTTTTTCTGTGCAGCTACTGAATATGAATATCACAAAGCATTTTTTTTCTTCTCCCACTCCTTTTTTAAGCATATATATATATTACAGATAATTTTAGAGGAGAAATAAAAGCTCCTTCAACATTTTCCCCATCTCCCAAGTAGTGCACACCACATAACAGGTCTGTTTGCAACTTTTGCAGACACTTAAGTAGCATTACAATGTGATATTCTCCTCCTTGCCTCTGTTTGGTATACAGCTTTTACCAACTACATCACAGTACTCTTTTATTTTGTCCTTCAAGGAGTTCACAACCCTCAGTGCTCCAGGATGCTGGGTTTGCACAATTCCCAGTGTGCCTTTTGCTCTGAGCTGTGCCAGGAGGTTTGTGCCCAATGCTGAAGCTCAGTCCTTAAGGATACATTCTGAGAAGTTCTGCTCTTCCAAGGATTTTGGGAAAAAAAACCACCAAAATTTATGACTAGCTTCTCAAAAGACAGTCATAACTGAAACTGAAGAGTTAAATCTTTCTCTAAGCTACCCCATGTGCATGTTTCTCAACACCGGCAGAGCAGAAGGACCCTGCCTTGGACAGCCTCCACTTTAAACAAGCATGGCTAGAAATTGCAGAAGCTGATTTGTCAAGAAGCAGACTCAGCTTACAGCAATGCAGTTGTTCGATCTGCTGCAGACTAACAGAATATTTGACTGAAGTCAGGTTTCCAGAGTACACAGCAAATGCAGACCTGTAGACCTGTCTCTTCAGAAAGTCTTGGAATTGGTTACGTCTTGTAGTATTTTCTGATTCCTTCTGTTGATCTAGTTAACATAGGAAAAAGAAAAAGCATGATGATTTAAAGTAGTCAGCCTTCTGTCGTTGATTCATCTATTTAGACATCTAAAGGAGTTTACATTCTGAAGATGCAAAAATTCCCAGACATGTTTTTTTTTGTAGAACCCTGAAAACACAAGTTGTCTCAGTGTGATTAGAAGTATGGAAATAAACTGAGGCTAAAGTGGAAATGCCTCAGTTTATTTCCATATAAGTTAAACAGTACACTTAAACATACAGCTATGTTTAAAGGTCTAAAATCAAGTGTTTGAGTGTCTGAAATAACCTATAGTCTAAAACCAGACAATTAACCTGCAAATAAAATTCTTATCAGTTTATAGTGGTTCATATTATTGCACATGACCTTATCAAAGTTCTTTCACAGTGACACTCATTGCCTGGTACCCATTTTCCTCTGGGAAAAACTAGTGGTAGCTCTGTGCTGCCAAACACAAATGAAGAATTGCTATCCTAAACAGCTAAAATAGACAAACAGTCTAATTGAAGGAAAGCATGCCACCTCTTCTGCTCAGGTGTTCCTGCCAAGTTGCATGAAGGGCCACACTTTACATCTGGGTCAGGTCATTGGTGGTTCTTTGTGCCCTGTCCTTTGCCTGGATCAAGCCCTCTCCCCATACTCAAAGCCGTAACAGTGCTTTGTTAATAATAAATCATAAATTCTCCTTCCAGACGAATAACAGGAGGAGAAACATCAGAGTACCCTAAATCTTTACTTCACTGTTGCTTTTTTGATACACAAAGGTAAAACGAAGTGAGGTTTTAACAGCAGCCACTATGAAAAAGTACACACATATTTACATGAAATGGTGCAGCAGATCTCCAGGAAGGAAAAGTTATATGTGAATAATCAAATTAAGGTTAGTAGGGTGATGACATTGCTATAATACAATAACATAAAGCACAACCTTTGTACTAACACAAGGCTTGCTAGATTCTATCCCACCTTACTCCTGTTATGGGAAGCTTTCTTTCATTTTTGATCTTTTCCCTACAAATCAGGTCTACAGGTATGAAGTTCACAGTGTCTGAATAAAAAAAACTACATAAAACCAAACAATATTCAGCCTAAGATTGCATGCAGACTGTGACTGGGGAGAAAAGACGTGGCTGGAATACCACAGACAGTGACAGAAGGATGACCACAGACTCATTTTGGTTTGTCTTTCTGCAGTGTGGAGTACAGTCCCTGTCTCATATTGGCTGGGGAGTTGACAGATGAGAAAAGCACTAAGGGGCATAATTGTCTCTCCCATCATCCTGTCTTTAATGATCACACATTCAAACCAGTAATCTGTGGTGGTGCATGATGTGAGGTGGCACAGAATTGCTTCAAGTAATGTGGGTAATGTCTGACATGGAGGGAATAGCTTAGATCAGTGTTTAAAATTTAATTTCCTAGACGTTTCAAATTATTCTTCACTTAACACTAATTTAATATTTAGATATAAGTCTCCTCAGGGAAGGGGAGAGGGAAGAATTGTGACTGTGATGCCAATGACTGGGTGGTTAGAATGAAACAGCTAATCTAGAAAGTCAAAGCAATATAACAGACAGATTTAAAGCAACTGTTCTTACTGGCTCAAGTGGAAAAATTACACAGATGATTCTACTGTTTTGAAATACAATTTTTGAATTGAATGTCATAAACCTTATTGCTGGCTCAGAAGATAGAGAGGTATCATTCTGCACCCAAGCTGTATAATCCTGAATTTCTTAGCTATTGAGATCCTGCTCCTAGAACATCATGTCTCTGTTCTTACTAGAGCCTGTAGCAAAACCAGGAGGCAAACAGCAGAGAAAAGGCTCTTCTAAAAAAAAAGAAAAAAGAGGGGCACAAATCCAAAAATTCTTCCAGTTATTCTAGTTATTTTTGTAACAGATTTATTGTCTCCTTGAGAACTAATTGAAACAGATTGGCATCTTCCAGATGTAAAGAACTACTAAAATGAACCAGCAGCATTAAATTATTCTGAAAGTAAATCTGTAACCATATTGCTGCAGGGATACTGAAGAGAAAGATCTGAAAGGAAGTACAGACTTATAATATAAAGATCTGAAAGGAAGTACAAGAGCTTGTGTACCAGTTTTTACCCTGTTCCCTATGCAAGACCCATCTGAGAAACAGACTGCAGTGAGAGGAGTGATGGGCTGGGCACTAGAGATTGTACATCTGTCTACTCCCTTCATCTAGAATATGGATACAAAGGGTTAAATATAATTTTCTCTGTGGATAGTTTCACCCATCTGGTGCTGCTTCTTTTAAGAAAGCCAAATTATTCCAATTATCTCCACAGCAGAGATGTCCAGCATTGCATGTGATACACAGACTCTGGAGGAAGTTTGGACACCAAAGCCAAATTCTACCACTCTCCCTGAAAACAAAATAAGCCCAAAAGAATAAAGAAGGCTCAAAACTTCTATAATTAAGCCATAGGAATCTGCTGCTGTGACATTCAGTGAATGTTTCTCTTCTATTCCCAGGGGAGCCTGTGCAATTTACATTGTCTGCTTCTGCTTTCTTGGTGTTCTTCTGGGCATCAACAATCCCACCAGACCACCTTCTGTATCTTACATGCTTACCATGTATCTATTAAAGCAGTGCCTTGTAGCAAGACCTTTCCTAATGCAAGAAAGTTAAAAAAAAAAATTTAAAGTCACCACAAAATCAATCCACATATTTTCAAGGGTGATATTTAAATGTAACAGCAATTCTTTGTCATATTGTCAAGAGAGTTTTCTTTATTTTTAGAAACTAGACAGCCAAAAATAGAAGAGTAAGTCTAATATTACTCTGCTCTCTTGACATGCAAGCCATTACAAAACCAGTTTAATCAGAATTTCTAAACTTATCTAATTTTTTTTCTTATTTTATACTGCCATTCACCAAATTTAACTATAAATTGGAATTTTTCTTGATAGAACAATATACAATAGAATTCAGATTATATCCTATTCCCTTTTGAAATTCAAGAAAGTGAAATAATCATTTGCTAGACACTTAAAACAGCAGGAGTGCAAAAAAAATTTTAAAAAAGAAAGGGGAGGAGAAAATCTCAGATACAATTCCTGTCATCTCTGTGCATAATTGTTTATGTCAGATGCTCTATGGTATTGAATTGCTAAAATAAGTTTAAGAGAGGGTAAATCAGGGGCAGGAGGAGTGAAGGAGGTAGGAAGAAGAATCAAATGTTTCAGAGTGGAACTCTTGAGTGCAGTTAATTTGGTCAGTTAATTTGGCACAGCCAGATTCCCAGTGCTCCCTGGATATTGCTTTTCCAAGGTCATTTAGTTACCAGTTTAAAAGAAAAAGTTTAAATTAGAATGGAATTCCATTGCTATGGCTATTCCATTATGTTTGAGAGACAAACACATGCTGTTCTACTATCTTAGCTTCTTCGGTCATAAAAGAGCAAAACTGGCAAAGCCAGGAGATAAGGCAAAATCACTACTTGAATTCAGGTTCTCTTTCTAGACTGAGGCTTACATTTTTCACTTACTGCTGTCTTTTTTTTTTTTTTTGCTTTCCCTTTTGATATAGTGTGTAATATGTTTCAAGGAAGCAGAAATTTAAAAACAATAAAATACTTTTTCAGACCAAAGAAAAGTTCCCACATAAAATATAGGAAATGAGGAAAAAATTTATCCAATATTATATAAATTTTAAATGTGTCCTCTAAAGGAAGCAGAGTCAATAGCCCAAGCAAAACAACTGGCTCATTTGACCAGATTTTCCCTGTGTTCTAGAAGAAGGGAAAAAAAATTGTAAGAAAAGAAAACACAGACAAATGAAAATTTGGCAAGGTTAGAAAACACAGGGTCAACATCATACTAAAATATTGAACACAAAGGAAATATCCAATATTGCTCAGGGATGTCAGGAAAATACAAAGAAAGGTAACTGAAGCAATGCATTTTTGCAAAAATCACACAGTCATCAAGAAGATGTTCTGATGGGGAAAAATTAAACAAGTAGGAAAAAGCCTAAAAATATTTCAGTTCTTCTATAAAAAGTATAGTTTAACCTACATGGATGCTGGGCAGTTTTTGCATTCTTGCATTCTTAATGCCAACTTTGTTAATGTGTCCCATAACTTGTAACTCAGATTTTTTTTCAGCCAGGTCCTACACTGTTCACCAGCGTGCCTCACACTGGAGAGTTGATGAATTAATGAAATAATACATTAGGAAATTATTAGGACTTCTATGGTTACATTTTTTGCTTTCTAGTCCATGTCTCATTTTGTGAAAACAACACAGACTGCAAAAGTAATTAGGATGAAAGTAATTCCATTGCTAAATAAACTTAATGGTGTCATAAAATCAAACTATGCAAGGGAGATTCAGGTCAAGTAGAATTCTAATGATGTAAACCTCAGAAGTAGAATTCAAGGCCTACTCATGAATACAAAAGGGAAAACTATCACTATATTAAAGCATCCATCATTCTCTTCCTCTTCTCCACAGAAATAAGAATTTCCAGAGCATAGCATATAAATATAGCATCACAGATGTAGCTACAGCAATTCCTACAAAATATATCTTGGATAACAGTACTTTACTTGAAGATGTATTTCTTGGTTTTTACCTCTAATAATTAACATATCTGGGACCTGGGCACACAAAATCATCTGAAGTTATTTCCTTCTTTGTTATCATGAAAAGATATGGGCCTGTTTTTCCCATGTGTCCTCCATACATACGCACGTATGCATACACACAAAAGCCAGTTTATACCCCACTTTGAGCATTCAGGCTCTGCGCTTTCTCTCCTGCAGAGGAGCTCTCGAGAAAAATGATGTGATTTTGGAAATGGGGCTGGGGAGGCCTGGCAGGGCAGGGATTGCTGGGGTGTATGTGCAGTGGTTCCCAGGGTGGAAGCTTAGCTGCCCTGTGTGTGCACCAAGCAAAGGCTTGTGGAGAAACTGTGTTGGTCTGCTATTAATACAGTAGTGTGATTGCTAAAATTCATTCATACACATATCTTATTTTTCCACTTATGTGATTTTCAGGTGGATTTTCAGTTAGATACTGAATACTCGTCTATAGTTAAATCTGTGGCAGAATTGTCAAGCACTTTCCTGATATGCATGCTCTCCCTTATATTTTCAGAATAATCAGGTGCATTCACATTGGGATGATATCAAAAAACTCATCTTGACAGGGATTCTTTCAGCCAGTTCACGTTGCTGTTCCAGAGACAGGATTTGTGTCAGGTCAAGCAACCCTCACTTTTCCTTTGACAAGAGGACGATGACAGATTAAGCACACGCTGAAAATGAGCACTGAGAAGGAGAGATGTTTCTAGGGGGGAGTAAAGGCCAGCTTTCTTCTTGGAAGGCAAGAGTGCTTAGGAAAACTACTGGGCTTGTTGTCAGCAGGCTGGCTCTTGGTCCCAGCAGGCAGCTGGCAGCTGTGCTTGCTTGGCTGGCTGTGGCTGCGGATGCAGCGCAGTCGCGGCGCTGCAGTGGAGCACAGGGGCGCCCAGCATGGCAGCACTGCTCTTCAGCCACCCAACTGTCTGCTGCAGAGTGCGGGGCTGCAAAGGAAAAAAATGGCATCAGGTGAAGGGCATCTCTCATTTCAGTTGTGTAATAAAAGTTCCTCACTGCAACCCTTTTGTCCCCACTGTAATTAAGGCACTCAGCAGAGCAGTGACACCTTCACTTTAACCATATAAATAGTGGTTTTGAACCAATACACTACACATTTCATGGTGGAATAAGAACTGAAATGAGTATTCTGTAAAATAATTGGACTGTTTTAAAAGGATCTTCAATGCATTGAAGCCTTAGGACTGCAGCTCTGAGACAAAGCACAAGGTAGCAGTAACCTGTGCCATAAATCACTGCATGATAATCCAGCAAGCACCTTAAAATCAGCCAAATTTTCTTTACCCAAACAAATAATGAGTATTTATTTGGTATTTTGGCAGGCTGCTCATCAAATTGTATTGATTTTTATCAGTTCATAAACATATCTCAGTTTGAACTTAACTACACTCTTGACAAAACACATAGATTAAAAATGTTTAAAACCTAATGAAAGTGTTTCAAGGCCTGGAAAAAAAGTCCAAATAAACTATGTTTATTTGGTGATTGACAAATACTCTTAATATTTGAGACAACATGTCTACAGTAGCTTTTTAAAGTATCAAACCTTTTTTAATTTATTGATTTCAGAAGTCTTGTCAAGTAGAAACACATATGGGGGTTCTTGGAAACTCAGTGGTAAGAAGCAAAATACAGGAACTAAAGCAATAATATTTGGCATTCTGGAAAAGCAAATTTGAAGTCTGACAAATATCAAAATAAATTTTAAAATATCATAGCATATGCTCCTATAACATCCAACATTTATCTTCTCAAACAGGATTAACTGAATAATTCATAAGTGCTGCAGATGGGGAATGAATGAGTTTGCTATACTAATCTTTGTGAAAGTGATTACCAGCATTGCATGGGGTTCCCAGTACTCCCTTTTACACTATGAATGGATGTTTTCCTTCAATTTTTATAAATGACCACTCAGAAGGACTTTTTTCCTTCTGTTCCATCATTATGTATGGAACATATGCTGTTGTCAGCTACTTTTTTTTTTTCTTTTGGTCTTGCAATTTGTATTATTTTCAAAAATAGTGCAACATTACAATTGGGCATTTGTCTTCCATGGAAGCAGAAGATTTTCATGCATAGGATTAAAACCAAGTTCTCATTTTACAGAAAAAAGAGCATGCTAAAGCTGTTGATTGGGTTAGAGATTGTATTTAAACTCAGGACTGCTTCTTTTACTCTCAACTGTGTGTACAAAGCAGGGACTTCAGCTGATAATATCAATTTTATTACCTGTCAAATGTAGTTTATAGCAGGTGCTTCTTCGGTGACAGCATCCCCATCCCCAGAATGATTTAATCTCAAAGCCCAGTAAAGATTATGTTCCTGTGCAATCAACAAGAATCCAGTTAGTGAATGTGTCTCCTTGGCTTTATCTCCACTCTCAGGCATTACTATGGGGATCCAGCTCTTGCAGCCTCTCTCAACCTTGTGCAAGAAAACATTTCTTGGAGCAGAGGAGCTTTGTAGTGGCCAACACACTTGTGACATGCAGTGCTTTTGCCCACTTCTGCTTCCCCTTCAGATGGGTCCTGCTTTTATCTTGGCTGTGATCATACTACCCAGATATATCTGACACCCTCTGTGGCCATTGCTAGTAGAAGCTCCAGTTTTCTTTCCAGGTGGTAAGAGGCAGTTCCCTTGTGGAAGAGGAAGGCAATAAGAGCAAAAGTTCTGGGAGTGAAACTGCTGGCCACTCACACAAGAACTGAGAACTGGGTAGAACACCTGCAGAAACCTGAACAGGTTTCTGTTCCTCTTTTCCCCTTCCCTGTGAAAGAAAGGGATAAATTTATTTTCATTGCCACATTTCCTTTAGGAAACTAAGGCAAAGGTCATGTGCTGCATGCTGAGTCACTGCTTTGATTTATGCATCCATTGCAGTTTGTATTTTATCCCTACATGTTGAGTAATCATGTGACATTGTCAACTATTACAGTCAACTTATCTCCACAATTAAAATAATTCTCCATAAATATACAGGAAATGCTTAACATGACTGTAAAATAATACATAATTTTATGGACTTTTATTTTTAAAAGTTGTTCTATTTAGTTTTCTATATTTGATCCTTTACAAGACGAGAATGAAAAGTAAGCAATACTATTCACTTTTTTTCTAAACTAAGTATTTTATAATTGTTTCCAAAAGCTATTTTCAGCTACAGTTTACTGGTAAAGAGACAATTGTGGAAATCACTGCAGGAAACAAGAGGTGCTATGTGGAGCTATATTTATATTTTCCTTCTAGCTCACTGAAGGAAACAATTAATAAAACAGGGATCCTATCAATTGGACACATGCTGCTCTTCCACAATGGAGCACCTTTACTTTTCTCCCTTTCCCAGAAAAGCATCTGCTTTAGCAAAAACACAGTTTTTTCCCCTGTTTTTCTCGTATTTTGCTTTGGCAAACTATACTTTCCCCTTAAATCAGCTCTGCATAGAGCTCCATTTGGGTTCAAGACCACTCAGTTCTTTGGGTCCCAAGTACACTGCAGCTGTGTGCAGTACTGCTGAGATATAAATAGATCACCATCTCAGCAGGTTTTAAAGCTTCAAATAAGCTTATTAAAATTGAGACATTGCACAAACTGCATTCAGCTCTATTAATGATTATCCTTCCCTTCAGGAACACTGAATTCAGTTACTCCATAGCATTGCACAGAAAGGTGACAGTCAAAGTGATGTTTCTGGATCTAAGTTTATGGTACATATTTCTCTGAGTAGGAACAGCTACTTTTCATCAGGCTGATATTTAAGAATTAAAAGAATGTATAAAGCAAATTTTTTTTTTTTTTTTTTTTTTGCTTAGAGGAAGCTTGTCTTTATATCCTTGTATCAAATTCAGCTTGGTAAGAGAGATGAAATGTACAACAGGTATTGCTGGTGTTGGTGGAGGTTTAGCAACTAGATGAACTAGTTAAACTCCCACCATGGTAAATACTGTTCTGTGTTTCAAAACCTGAATAGTCATCTGTTTTAGTTTCCAGACATCTGATGTAATACTGATTTCACTTGGTAGTCTACCTTTTACAATCCTTTTCTCTCAGATAAACATTAGATTAGTCTCCTGGTGTCTAAATAAATGCTAGTATTTCCAAAGATCTAGAAGACAAATGGAAATAGGAGACTTGGAGAAAACTTTCTTTTAATTTCTCCTTCAATTTCCCTTTTTTGGGATAATAGAGCTTTTTGACTTTTTTGCAATCTTACCAACCTTTCCCTACATTTGCATTCTGTAAGAGATTTATTTATATTTAGCATTTTTCTTTGGCTAGCAGAAGAGGTTATGATGCTGGATTAGAGCTTTATTCATAGTAGGATTTCAGATGAGTCACGGATATATCTCTGCAGCAGCTGTTGCAGACCTTGTAATGCCATTATGCCCTGACTCTGAGAGAGATGTTGCACTCAGGTTCTGTGGCTACCCTCTTAGTGATTTCTACAACACAGAAGCCCTCCAATGTAGATGATGGGACACTATCAAAGAAATTTTGGTGTAGAGCATATGCTGCAGGCACAATGCACACAACATGCACTTTTGTGACCTTTTCAGACATTACATGGAAAAACACTGCAGAAGATGAGGAACATGTACTTGCAGAAGTTTCTTGCTGTGACCTGTCAAAAAAGATTCACTTCCTGAACAGTAAAAAAACAAAACAAAACATTTCCCAACTCAGCAAAAGAAAAACTGAAACACAAAACTCCCAACTAGAGAGTGAAACAAACAAGGGAAAAAAAACCTCACAAACCCAACTACAAAAAATAACCAAACAAAATGCTTCCTTGCTCATAGTATGAAGGAAAAAAATCCACAAAACAAAAAAGTAAAATAAATACCTCTTTGCTGATGATTTTTAAAAGTCCTATTTTCTTGCTCACGGTAAAACACCTCTGCAGCCTTACTAAAGACCATTAATGTCTATAAGAGCTTTTAGAGGTCCTGCTGAAAAAGTACACACTTGTACTCCAGAAGGAAATAGATCTCATTTGATACAAGAAATTTGGTCAGGAATTTAGCTGAATTTCTGCAGAAGATTAGAAAGCATTTTATACATTTCCAACACCATTGTGAAATTCTGAGTTCTGGGGAAGAGTTATCATAAGCACAGACCCAGATAATGCTTGACATTTTAAGCTTCAATCCCAAGAACTCTGCTTAGCTGCCACCCTTGAGTGATGCCATCTGCACAGGAATATTAATCCCATATTTACCTCCAAGGTCTCTTATGTTAAAATTGTCACTCTCAGCTAAATTCAGATTTAGAGCAGATAACCTGCTACACCTGAGGACAGGTACATAAAGTACAGCCATGTGTCCTAAGAACTCAGTAAATAACAGCTGTGATCACTTTTTTCTGTCAAGTCATCCAGTCAGGTAACAGCACTGCATTGGACTAATGGAGGATATACACCTGGCTTCTTGTACACATTTCTAACATTACACTTGCTAGTCAATGCTCTTTTTATTTGATTTCACTCCACTGCCTTTAATTGAGTATATCTGGAGTCAATCTGGTTTGTGAAGATATAAATAAAGTAATAGAGGACATGCATATAGAGATTTAATAGTAGCAAGTTCTATTTCTGAAAATCAGAAATAGAATGGTGCAAAATTGCTATGGTGCGAGATACATAAATAAAAGGGGGCAGAAGAATGAGCTAAAAAAATTTTTTACACTGCTGATTACCCAAAAAAGATGGATATTTTTTGACATGTCAAACATCTCAAAGATAAAACATGAATTCTCACTGCCAATACAAAGGAAGGGGCATCGGTCATGTTACACATTCACTTGCTCTGTATCAGAACCTCCTTCAAAGCTTTTCAGAGACTCCTATCATGCTGCATGTTTTCATTTTGCAATGAAACCAGCACAACATTATTTTGTTTAAAGGTCATGCAAATGTTGGCTGAGTACTCTCTTAAACAAAACTATTTCATAAATACACATGGTTAGAATATTTCATAAGGGCCCAGTGTTACAAGGTTTTGATATGTGAGCAATGACTTTATTCCCCAGATTAGTCTGCATTTATCACCTGCATAAAAGGGAATAGACATTGTGAATACTTACAAATACACCAACACAGATCAAAATAATCTTGTCCTATAATGGTAAATATTACCTCTGGGCAACTAAGTATAGGCTAGATATAGTGTGTGTGAACAATAAGGTACTGTTCAACTGAAAGTTGGATGTTTTAGTTCCTGACATTGGCTGTTCTAAAGTTCCTGAAACAAGTTATGACAGAATGTTCTTTTTTTAAAACATATTGCGCTGCTCTTCTATCTAGGTAGCTTTATATCTCTCTTTATTGTGATATTGCAAAGCTAAATGAATGCTGAAGACAGACTTTATTAGAAAGTAAAGCACCATGTCATCAGCATCAAACATAGAAATAGGCATAATTATATTCTTCATTTAAGAGTGCCATTCTTCTAAAGATTACATGAGAATGCCCTTCTGCTCTTCATCTTTTTTTTTTAATTGTGCCACATTACCTTACTCTAGAGGAGACAGAAAGGAAATGGGTAGTGCAATAGGTCACATCATTGAGGAATAATACTGATATATGGCCTAGTATTATTTGGCACTATGCTTTTTAGGCAGAAGCAGGTTTTTCATTTGTTCTACTGACTACAGAATAACACAATGGGTTTAAAATTACTGAAAAAAAAATCTGGGCAGTATCCTTGCACATCTAAGTTTAATAGCAAAAAGAACTGTCAAGTTTTAGCAAGGACTGTCAAGTTTAGCATGTCCAAGATTTAATTATGAGGTTTTCTTTTTACTGAAGGACAAGGAATATATCAATAGAAAATTTTTATAAAAGCACAGGGAAACAAAACTTTGGGAAGTTGGGAAAAGTGGTTTGTGACCAAAGTTTAAAGCCTGTAAGGTTCAATAGGCAGCCAGGATACTGTGACTTTCAAGTCAGGACAAACTGATTCTGTAACTCTTACAGTAAAACTTCCCAGGTTTTTACAGGCATTCTAGAGCCAAAGATAAAATCGTCATGCAGGTTATTTTCAGTTTTCGTTAAAATTATTAGATTTCAATCTAAACGATCTGACAACTTTAATGTCAAAATTATTCTTTAACAGGCAGACTAACATTCTCCTGGAATGGTTTGATGAAGTGTGCCATGAACATCATTAGTATTCTCACACTCCTGAGTTTCGAATCTGATTTGTCATAAGAGTTGGAAATTTGGTTATTACTCACAGCTCAAGAACTGAAGCTCTTAACCAAGGAGTAGGACAAGTACAAATCCCAACATCAAATACCAGACATTTGCCCATGAGTGTGCAGAAAGCATGAGTTTCTTGGTGTCCTAAAAGAGGTGTACTTGGTTAGCTTAAGGCACTTTGTCCATTATTTTATCTCCTCTGTCTTCCTTTGCCTTGTACAATGTTTCACTACTCCTACCTTCCCTATCTACAACTATTTCCTGACTCCAGTCCTCAGTGCTGCAATCACATCTTATCCTCCTTGCATGCAATTTTTTTTCCAAAAGTGACATTGAAAAACATAGGAAGTTTAATTTTTTTAGTCATTCAGTGTTAATCTAGTACATTCCCTCCTGATCTGGAAAAGACACTGGGAAACGTAGCACAGAGGGGAATCCTGCTCTGCCCTTCAAATCCCAGCAAATGGTGTAACCTTCAGAGATTTGGTTGTCAAATATTGCCTGCACTGAGAATCTGCAAGCTCAGATGTTTGGAGCCATGACTCGCCCAATTTCAAGTTGACTTTATTCTCAGCTTTTTTTGAGCAATGTCATAAAACATTCCTCTGACAATTAGGCAGATCAGCTGCACGTCTGCAAAGGTTTTGCAGTTTCTCAACTAAACAATCTGAAAATATTTAAAATAGGAATCCCTCACCACACCATTTTCTCTCTCCCAAAGGCTGGCTGCTCATATTTAGATGCAGTGAAATCAGGAAGCGACAAGAAGGCACAAAGAGCAGTTTCCAACCTCAAATCTGTTACACTGCAGGAGGGCACTACAGGCAGTGCCCACTTTACTGCCCTGCTACTACAGAGAGTGACACCTGCTCACTCTCCTCAAAACACACAGCTGACTCATGCACTACATTGCTTTGTTTAACAGATATTTTATTAGTGGATTTTAGACTGATAATGAGTTTCTGGTTTATTATTTCCTTCTCTTTATTCATATTTGAATATGCCTGCTATCAGAGCTCTTAGCTATCTCTACCTTGATAATAGGATAGATACTTAGATCTTTTATCAGTGCTTTCTGTAACTGACTGCCTATAAAACTGAAAGCATTTATTGTGGTATACCTTCTTTTTATTCCCCCTCCTTGTTCTCCCAAAAACATGTATCTAATTCGATACAAGTATTTTAACAGTGTTTTTTGGGAAAGTATCCCAGCTGTTTTCAATTTAAACTTCAGCAGCCTTCCTCACGACCCAGTTATTCCATACGCAGTGTCTTAACATCTTTAAAATTGTAAGTGTTAAAGCCAGCATGAAATGGAGGAAAATAGCAATGAATTCTACTATTTTTATCAATGTAAAATTATATAACTTTAATTTCCACTGATTTCTTAAAGTGAAAGTAATCACTGAACAGCAGAATTAAATGGTCATGCTGTGTAATTAAGACCTGTGTGTGCTACCAGTCATTACCTTCTTAGCATTTTCTTGTAAGATTTGCCTTCATAGAAGAAACCAATTTAGTATAAACATCTGCATTTTGTTTCTCTTCTGTGGTTTTAATCTAGTATTTGCATAAGCATGTGATCAGCCACAAAGAGGCCATCTGGCTGGCCACACTCTTCCTGATCCATTTTCTTTATGTGCCAACAGTGCTTGCTCCTGTGCCATCTTCCTTGTGGATAAATCCGCTCACCACAACACTATACCCAAACTATCAGCATGACTGTTTCTTTCTGCTGAGCAATAAGTATACTTGTGTGTTTGCCACAGCTTCAAGGAATGCCTGCAGAATGCTACAATAGCCTTGAACCCACTGTGAAGGCCAAGTAGCTTCAAAAGTATTCAAATCTTTGGTTTTTTTTTTTTTTTCAGGCATAATGAATTTCCTCTTATTTTCTTCAGCTGTGACTGACTATCAAGAGAGTCACATGCAGACCTTCACTTTCATGTTCCCCTTTAACTGCCTGCTCTTGCATGACTGCTCTTCCTGTTTACCCAGTTTACCAGTTATATCATGACATGGTCCTGTGAGGTCCAGCAGGTAGGCACTGGCAGGCCTGTAAGAAACTGCCTCTACTGTGGCCCTATATTTATGACTTAAGACTGTGGAAACCCAAGATGATGATCATTTCAGCCCAGCCTTGCATGGTCTTGAACACCTGCAGAGAGGTCTTGACAAACTGAGCAGTCACCTACCATATGAAGTTCTGAAATATTGACTGGGCTATCACCAGCCAAATGAAATTCAACATGGAAAGAGCCAGACTCTGCAACTGGAATGGGGAAACCCTGGATGTACAGACAGACTGGGGAATGACAGGCTGGAAAGCAGTGCTACAGAAAGGGACATGGCAGTCCTAGTCAACAGAAAGCTGACCATGAGCCAGCAGTGCCCTGGCAGCCAGGAGGGACAACCCTGTCCTGGGGGCATCAGGCACAACATGGCCAGCCAGGCAAGGGAGGGGATTGTCCTGCTCTGCTCTGCACCAGGGTGGCCTCACCTCAAGTCCTGTG